TACCTTTGCTTTTGAATAGATGTACCTTATTAAACTTGGGTGAATTCAAGAGCATTTCCATCTGGGTCTCTCGTAAAGATTGCTGGCCTACCAGAGCGACTGAGAGTATAGGTGATTCCTGCAAACAAAATTAACCGGCTAAGTCACATGCCATAACCATTTCATATTAACAAGGTTTATAACGGTAATTAAATACAAGGTTAATTGCAGTTAGACCCCTGTGCTATCACCCAATTGCGGATAGCCCGCCTATAGTTTGATTGTTGTAGATAAATCCCGAGTAACTTTTTATTTGACTCTTTTACCCTTAGAGTTTTTTTCTTTTTTTTTGGGACAAAGAGATTTGGGAGTAACAAGAGTCAAAAGCATTTCACTCAGACAGTCTATAGAAAAGGGGATCTATCCGCAACTGGTGACAGTACAGGGAGTGTCCGCAATTAACCCTTAAATATAACTTAAGCTGGGCATTCTTCTGAGGAGATATGTATCAGTTACCTTTTCATTCAGTTAAATGGTGGTTACCATGTATATGTTTCATACTTCTCATAGGTTCATTTCCTGACTGACTGTAACTGAGATGAGTTTTACAGAATATATACATGTTTGTTGACCTATTAAGCAGAGAATTCTATATGCGAGCTGGGTGTGACAGAGGGAAGTTTGACAAGCTACAGGTTAGTTGACAAGCTACAAGTTAAAAAAACGAAGCAAAAAAGGCTGCACTGTCAGGATTCAGCCCAAGGAGCCAGGTACACACCGATAAGGATAATTCTATTAAATAAAAGGTAGAATTAAAGAAATGTATAAGTATAACGAAACATACATATAATTTCAAGAGAAATGGACAAATGTTAATAATAGAGAAGGGCTCCAAAGCCCATGGTTCTATAGATCCTGCAGAAACGTTCTTTACACGTGTTAATTGACCAGAGTGTTATAACAAATGCTAAACTGGGACATTCAACAATATAAATGAATTTTTTTCATATTTACTTCTTAATTCAGTCAAGGTCTAAAGAAGCATAATATATGAAAATCCACCAGATGATAGAATTTTTGCCAGGTTCCTACCAGGAAATTTGTCAATTTCATAATCAAGCACCCACTTGTTAAGCCAACAAATACACCTGCAGAGGTAAACAGATTGCTATTGACTTTTACAGTTTGAAAGGGTTTGACTTCAATATTTCTGCTCTTTGACGCTACTCGCTTCATGGGGACTTAGCTCACTCTTTAAAGAAAGACTTTCAGCATAAAGTAAATAATAATTTATTTCAAGGCAGTCTACCAACATCAACATCCAAGCTCTTTCCTACTAAGGGAAGTCCGCTAGTAGTTGGCTCAACGTTGAGAAGTATCCTTGATATGGGATGGCAACATGCCACTAGACCTAGTGATATAAGAAATCTCTCTTAAGAGAGAGATTCTCTAAGTAAGACTGATTTTAATGGTGGTTCTTACTGAAAAATAAAACTTCTAGATTTTACAGTTGACATGATCTTTTACAGTCCGTGTTAAAAATGATAAACCGGGAATGTTCAGAAATATCAAGGAGAAAACTATATCAACACTTTAAATTCAGTTGAAGTCAAAATATGATGAATATTTGGTTATCACCAACCGAGATCTGAGATAAAGTTTTGTACTTAGTAATTTGCCAAACAAAAAATAAAATATCTAGGATTTATTTTAACACAACACCATTCCATAAATAAGTAGATAACTAACACACTAGATGTTTGGCCCAAAAAAGGGAATGGCTTCAACAATTTTCACATGCGACAGTACTATCATGATATCATCACTGGGACCTTCCCACTACTTAAAGAGGGGGTCTCAGAATATGGCGCGTAATAATGAATCTTAATGTGGGAGATCAGCATCATCATACAGGCTATTTCCCGTGAATGACTTCAGCTTATATTTAGCTCCAACCTGGGAAGTTCCGGGATAGCAATGCCAAAACTTCTATGCTTGGCTGTCAGCATGCCACCAGAGCTCTATTTGTTAGGGAATATTTCTATAAGAAATCTAATATCTTTAATAATTGAAGGTTGAAAATTCAAGAAATCTCAATTTGGAGTCAATATAAGAAGTGAGAGTGGCTTTTATCCCTAAGGAGTTATTTTATTTGGTGTTGTTATCGAAGTTAAATGAGATTTCATCTATTTACATATAGTGTCTTAGAGAAATAAAAAAACGTCAAGATATTATTCATCTAACCCTAACCTCTCTTAAATAGAGGTTAGGAGGATATTACAAAATAAGTAAAATCATATCCAATCATATCGCTCAATATCTCAACAATATCTCATAATATATTCCTTAACAGTCTCATTCAAGCTAGAGCATATTTATCATATATGTCTAGCTTGTTACAAATAAAGTGCACACACTCTAATATGTGACGATCTTCAAAAACTTAAAGTAGTCCTAATCTTCTTATCTTTCACTTGGATGTCTTCTAATCAGCTGATCTCCACCGATCAAATGATCCTTGAAGGATTCAACAATAAATGATCCTTTTCAGGATCTAATAACAAATAATCCTTCCTTGAAGGATCCAACAACAAATAATCATTTTTTGCAGGATCCAACAACAAATAATTATTTTTTGCAGGATCTAACAATAAATGATCCTTTTTAGGATCCAACAACAAATGATCATTCATTAAAAAATCCAACAACAGATAATCCTTCTTCAAAGGATAATGATTCAACAACAAATAACCCTCTACAGGATCTAACAGCAAATGATCCTTCCTTGAAGGATCCAATAATAAATGATTCTTCTTTGAAGGATCCAATCAACAAATAATCCTTCTTTAAGGACGTGACAAGTAAATGATCCTTCTGTAAAGGATCCAACAACAAATGATCATTTTTTAAGGATCTGACAAATAAATAATCTAAGAAGTAGAGTTGACTTTGGACTCGAGCAAAGATCAATGAAGTCGACGAGCACAAGTCGATGAGGGCCGGAGTTGGCTCTCATCGGAGCGCATGGTGAACAATATCAAAATATGGATGAACAATGACCGATGAACAATGGGGATTAACAGTAACTTGATGAACAGTAACTCCATGAAAAGTAGCTGGTGGACATTAATTCAATGTCGAGGCTGCCGAGGGGAAGCATGAGTTTTTAACAAGAAACCCCCACGGCGGCTCGATGTAGACGGTGAAGAAAGAGGTCCTTCTAGGATCAAGAGGAATATCATGTAGAAAAATAGAAAAAGGACAAGATATTATTCATCTAACTCTATCCTCTCTTAAATAGATGTTAGAAGGATATTACAAAATAGGTATGAGATAAAATCATATCCAATCATATCGCCCAATATCTCAACATTATATATTTCTTAACGTGTCTGAAATATCCAAATGATGTTATAAATAAATAAGAGTGTATATTGACTTGCATTTGCAAAATAATACGCCTACTTGCAACTACAAATTAGCGTAATAAACAAGTTTGTACATTTATTAGCAAAATGCAAAGCAGTATACTGATTCACAATATGATGATATACTCAACTAATAAATAATTTAATGAATAAAAAATGAAATGAAAATAAAATAATAAAATAAAATGAGACAGAGAGAGATAAGCAGTTACCTTCTCTATGAAGAAATCAAAGAACATGATTGTGAATAGAAAGCAAGGAGCAACAAAAGTGTGGTGTCCAACAAGCCAAGTGCTGATTTGGGGGCAAATGGTTAGGTGTCAACATGGTACTCAAATGGGCTACGTGTCAACAAGCAGAGGCAGAACTTGATTTTGTATAAGTGTTGTCCACTTCACCTCCCAACAACATTTGAATTTATACCCAAACACCCATGGAGATTACTGGGCTCATGGGGTTTACTGGATCATTACTGAATTATTAGGGACAAACGGGTAACTGTGAAAGATATTGCATCACATGAGTTCCTGTACATATCACATCATTCTCCAATTGAACTATTTTGGCTATCAATTAAAAAGTTGAAATTGATTTTATATTGGCGATTCTACTAATTATGAGCTTCATTTCCTTGTTTTCAACAGTCTATACTTGCTAGCAACTGATTCAAATTACTTTTCCATGTTATTAATTTATATATGATAGTGTTTTCTTCAAACCTATAATTTAGGAGAGACGAACCACTTACCAACTCCGAGTCTCTCAATAACTTAACAATATACGCAGAATTTATAACCTTACTGATAGCAAGTCTATATAACTTAAGAATATCCTCAGAACTTCCAGTGGACTAGAAAACAAAATATAACTATTGTATGTCCCTCCTCTGGTTCCATAAAATGGAATTTTCATATTTCGATTTTGACCATATGCTTATTGTATTTTACCAAAGGTGCATACAGACTGGATATGGACCAGATATAACATTTACCATATTCGTATCCACTTACTAACAACGCATATCAATACAAATTTGGATGTAGTTCGGTAACGAAAAACCAATATCCTTATCCATCAAAGTTGAATATGGATACAGATTGGATGAGAATATCTCACATATGAGAAAAACTGATAAAATTCAGAAGTGTATGTGCACATGCTATACAATACAAGAGTTGTCCAAATAAAACAAACTATCTCAAATCATAGTTCACAGTTCACACATGCCTACAAGTTTAAAATTAGACCTCTGGATCATGAACATCAGCTTTAGGTCAACTAATTCAAGGCCAAAATAGTTTTACCCCTATGGTGAACAAGTATTCAGATATCTCGATCCAAAATTGGATATTTTCCCTATATCCATATCTCCCCATCCGAATCCTATAAAAAATTTAAATGATATATGTTTCCTCATCCACCCAGATATGATTATTTACTCTCATACTCTATCGGACATGAATATGGATGTATCTGCGGATATCCATATCGTTTTGCATCCCTAATTTTACATCTATGTATCGGGTGTTCTCTAAATTTAGATATACAGTATTGAACCACCTTCAGTATCCACACTCATAGAATTTCCATACTTTCCAACATTCACACAAATACAAAATAGATACTAGATATATCACGTACACAGCATAAGAAAAACTTGATGCTTTCGACTACTCACCAGCTTTATCAAAGATTTCTTTGAGCTTTGCCACATTTTTTATTGCAATACAGGCATGACGGTCACGTCCTCCATGTTCAGGTCGTCCTGTCAAGGGATCAGGGTTTGGAAGTTCCATCAAATGGATCATCTCGTCACCGATCCACAGCCAAGCACCTCTGTATGGAAGTTTATCATTTGGCCTTGCTTCATTAATTTTAAGACCTGGTATTGTACATAAATATATTGAATCATTTGAAGAGGAAAGGTAAAGGAAGAAAACATGAAATACAAAAAAGCCTAACTTGTAAGTCATGACTGAGATATACCCAAGATGTTCTGATAGAACTCAAGTGACTTCTCAAGGTTTTGACATAGAATACCCACATGGTGGATACTAACAACTCCATAATCTGCATCAAACACGACAATGTATTATTAGAGAAAAGAGAGAAGATACGACAATGTGATGAAGCATTTTCTGGTATATAAGTCGTAGAATATTGAATAACGGCATTTATTTGGACAAACATCCTTGCTATCATTGTTAACATACTGATGTGCTACTGTGGTTTTACTTACATACAAGAGTATATGATGAAGCTTCTAATCACATGTCTAGTTAAATAAAGCAATAAAGGAGTATTCACTATAAATAAATAAAACATGATTAACTTCAAGGACAAATGAGACAGTTCAATTGGTTTTCCTTAGCACGACAAGCAGATTCATCATCACTAGGCTGTTCTTACTTCAACAATAGTAACACCAGCTATGGATCGCCATCATAATCATTTTGAATGTTGATAATTGTTGGTAACACCATCTACTGATGATCATAATAAATAGTTTACATGTTGATGTATGAAGAGTAAAATGATGCTCTACAATTTTTCCAACTAAACATATACATTTCATATATTTTTATACAAAGATCGTCCATTTATCGACAAGACTTTTGATAAGCACTAAACATATGGACGTATACCTTGTTATGACTGGCATGTGCATGTTAACATAATCCTATATTTGTGCAACAACCGTTAATACACTATAAACAATTTGAAATTAGCCCCTCTAGCTAGAGGCCAAGAATACTTTGTCAGTTTTTTTCCTTCATTTTTTGGTGCAACAGCGGTTGTACCCATATGCTTTCAAATCAAAACCCCAAAAAATGCTTCACGGGTGCACAAATTGGGGAAATATTATGCAACATCAGAGTTAAATCCACTGATTTAAACCTTATTTTGGTAAATTTTGCTAATAGTTTTGGTTGATTTGATAATTTGGTTGACAACTACACAACTGTGGTTAACAATTTAGATCATAAATATAACAACGCATACCCAAAACAAGGGTGATATTTCACTAAATTACTCAACTTTTAACTAGAATCTACAACCTCAGCTACTCCAACACTTGTAAAGTATGATAACATATAGTTCACCTATCAAATCTCGCCCTGATGTTATACAATAATTAATTAGGAAAAAAAAGAAAGCTACAGAATGATCCAAAATAACAAGCATAAACCAATTAATCCTTCTACCCTCCCAAGCTTCCTCTACTATTTCTCAACTACTAGAGGAATGATTGTTTTATTCTTGGTTAACACTCAAACGAGCCAGCAGGCCCAGCACCGATTTATAGAGAAATTGTCCTTCAAATAAACACATAACTCACAAAATAAAAGCTTTCAGATTCTTCTACTTACTGATTTTTGGATTTTTATATTACTATATAATAACAGTTTTTTAATGACTATTTTTATATTACTATATAATAACAGTTTTTAATGACTAACATCATACTTCCTTTAAAAGCACGAGTTCAGGAAAATCTTTTTATAGTCAATATTACCCTTCTCTATTTTGAATATTACATTTAAATTTAATCTATTCTAATTCTAATCATATCTTATCTAATTCTAATCCCATAGGAACTATTTATAGCTCAACAATTAAAAAAAAATATTAACAAACTATGTGAAATATTATTTTAAAATTTTTACTTAAATTTTAATCTATCTAAATACTAATGATATCCTATATTAACCCCACATGAACTACCTATAGCTCATTTTAAAAAATAAGATTAAGATTTAATTCAAAAATTACACAATATATCTTTAAAAGTTTGAATTTACCAAAAACACCTTGACTTTTCAAAACTTAAAACAACAAACATGAAATCTAAAAATTAAAAATAACCCCCGAGGAATTTAAAAATTACAATTACACCCTCAATATTTCTAAAATTGTAGAAACAACCTCAAAAGTTCAAATTAGAAAAAAACACCCTAAATTCAGTGACTTCAAAACTTGCAAACAACATAGATAGATTTTATGGATTACCATTAGACACTTAAAAACTTAAAATTTGTAATAAATAACCTCAAAGTTACATAAACTACAAAAACACCCTCAAAATTTAAAAAATCACAAAATTCCTAAAATTGTAAAGCTTATAACCGGTAGACATCAAATCTGAAAATTATCAGCAGATTGCGAAAAATTTAAATTTATCAAAAAACAACTCAAAGTTTTAGTAATTGTAAAAAATCACGCTCAAAATTTTAGAGTTGAAAGACGCAACTTAACATTTGAAAACTTACCACCAACTCATAAAACATAAAATTTATAAGCACCCAACATAAAATTTAAAATTTTCAAAAAAAAATATATTAAAGTTAAAAAAATTACAAAACACACCCTCAAAAGTTTAAAATCATAAAAGGCTGAAATTCGGCAAGGAAAAGAGTAAATGTTTGATATTATTTCATTAAAATATATAAGTTTAAGTTTTAATTTAAAGTTTATCATCCCTTTTCAGCATCTAAAAGCAGTCTAAATTAACGCTGGTAAAAAATAACAATTACGATAGATTAAAACTATCCAGTTAAGGAATAAAAATTTAAAAAATATATAATAGATTAAAAATTAATGTTACTGTATAAATTTAAGGAACTACATATAATTTTAGTAATAATATTAATTGATAGAAGACTAAATTGCATAAAACTAACAAAAAACTATAATATAATAAGTTAGCATTAATTGATTATAATGTATAAACATTCATCTTTGATGTTGATAATATTTATAGAGTGAAAAAATACAATGAATTTTGCATGAAAAACTATCAGAAAGTTTAGAGATATTATTTAAAAAAATCAAGCTGTTTTTATTTCAAATAGAGAAGTGAAGTAAATAAACCCAAAATACAGAAACATTCATGAATCGCTTGAACTGACATTGACGAAAGGTATAATTTTGTCCCAATTAAAAAAAAATTCATCGTGAAAGATACAAGAAAAATTAGTTTGTTTTTTATTATAAATTTTCATACTTTATTCTTAAAATACTAAATGAATCATAAACTTAATATAAAATTACATATAAATAATCTTACAATAGAAACTAAAGTGAAGTTATTGATCGAATCATAAACTTAATATAAAATTACATATAAATAATCTTACAATAGAAACTAAAGTGAAGTTATTGATCAACTATGTTGCGAGATATAATAAGCAAGTGAAGTTATTGATCAACTATGTTGCGAGATATAATAAGCCAGATAAGATGAGAGAAATCACTATAATGGACAAAAGGTATATACATGATAATTAGTTACAATAACGTAAGTAAAAAAAATTAAAATTGATATTTTTCTTTTTTTTATATGTGATATGACTCTACAAGCAAATTTATTTGGGGATATGACTACTAGTAAAGGATTAGTTTTTAAAGACACGATAAAAAATAAGCACATAATAGCACTGTTAGATTTCAAGATCTTTAAATATTAAGGTAACATATTTTACTACTAAAATTTTAATTAAAGGTCACTCAACATAAAATTCACATTATGCCTGTCGCGTGTTATCGTAAATTGTGTTAACAATATATACCAACACAAAGATACAACTTATTAAAGAAATAAAAGAATGATAAGTAAACCATGCAAACATACATATAACACAATAAAAAAAATATTACACTATAAAGCTAATACGCATGGCTTATTCAAAATAAGCTGCTAATATAGAAGCATATCCATCAAGGCTCTTTACAAATACAAAACAAATTTAAACTATTGATATGTGCAATAATCACAATATCAAAGAGGTATGATCTTATAAGACCTACTCTAAAATTTTTATAATTAAATTTAAAAACACTCTACCAATATACGGACATGCTATTGGACCTATAATGTAAAGATAACTACTATTTATAATAAAGTTGAGCCGTAGTTCTAGCTTGCAAAGGCTACAACAAGAAGATTGAATAGACATGTTAATAAGAATGTCCAAATGATAAATATCATAGAATTACTAATAAAGTAGTACCAATGTTGAGTAATATCCATTCTTCATGAAATAAACATATCAAAATTAAATATTAACATTATAATCTAAGCCAAGTTGATAATAAAAATACAGTTATTTAGTTCAGACTATTATGGAAAATGATACAGATAGAGTAAAAGTAACATTATTTAACTCGACAGAAACTCTTATTGGATGCACACCAGAAGAATTCATTGCAGAGAAAAAAGAGCTAACTCCTAACCTTTTTAAAAAAATAAATTAGAAACACAAAAATTTCATAAATATGAAATTAACATTTAGTCTCATTGAAACACAAAAATAATCAAAGTCTGTATTTCTAGAATTTTTGTTGGAAATTAACATTTAGTCTCATTGAAACACAAAAATAATCAAAGTCTGTATTTCTAGAATTTTTGTTGAACATCAAAAATGCATTCAACGTATTTCTAGAATTTTTGTTGAACATCAAAAATGCATTCAACTTCTTTGTGAAGTAAGACGAGAAGACAACATGAACGAGCTCAGGGAAAAATAATTACACAAAAATCCAGCTCTAGCATGATATCACAATCAATATAGATGATGAAGACACAACTCTAGAATTGCTCAGGAAAAAGATAAAGGTGGAGAAAGATTTATCTTAACTCAATAGAAAGAATAAAAGATTTATTTTCCGAATATTTTATAGAATAGCTTAATTTTTTGATTAAAACCAGAAATCTTTAGAAAAGATTTTCATGAACTCTTTTAAATATTTTTATATGGTTATGTGGATGCTTATATCATATAAAATATACTAGAGTTAGCATTAACATTTAGTCAATGATTTTTTCTGAAGTCTATCAATTAATTAGCAACAAACTTCATATTCTCTTTAGTTTCATTTTAGCCCACTTTTAATTAATCATCTTGGCTTTTTAGCTTTAATTATACATCTTTATTTTATAACACTACTTTTTTTAAAGTGTTTTTCACTTTTACAACATTATACTTTCAAGCTTGGTTTCATGTCGGTCTAAATCACGTTAAAATTCAAATTGGCTTTAGATTTCATTTGTTTCCTGTTAATTTAATTATCAACATAAAATTTTAAATTTGGTGTAGCCCATTCAAACAAAAATCAAAGATAATAAATAATCACAATGCTAAAATTTTAAAGACATAAGTGAGCAAAAACGATCAAAGTGGAACTGAGGAACAAATTTTAGTAAGTAAGTAAATTAAAATATTTAATCATGATATTTAAATGCACGTGCATAAAACCTAGTATTGATAAAAAAGGAAGCCTTTTTTTAACAATTGAATTGATCACTGAAGTAATTATAAGGATTGCAACAGAAAAGACTAACCATTGGAGCTGCTAACAGGGTCAGGATCTTCTCTAGCGAGAAGATCGGGCTCAGCTGATGCCTTGGCTTTGGTTTTCAGCAAGCTGATCCCATGATGTTTTCCAATTTGAGCAAAATTTGGGGATTTGGTAATTGCGATTCTAGGGTTTGCAACGGGGTTCAGCGGAGGAGCCACAAAAGAGGAGAAGCACCGGATCGCCATTATCCCTCAAACTTCACAGCAGGACCTTTCTTTTTGGCTGGGATGTGCATATGAGCTTGGATCCGGTCACCGAACGGTGAGGGTAAGGGATATACAGGAGTGCTGCGTGTCACTTCTACGGAAAATAGGGGTATTTTTGGGTTATTTGCATATACACCTTACATTATGGATAACTTGCAAAAGTGCCCCCATACCATCAAATTATTAACTTTGGGAAAACAAATACTCCTAAAATTAAGAAATCGTCAACTTAGTGATAAAATTTCAATTATTTTGCTGGTAAGCTTTTTTTTGTTGGTAAGTTTTATATTGCAATTATAAATTAGCTGCTCAAAGTTGACGGAGTTTTTCTCTTCAGGCAAACTTCTTGGAGAATTGAATACAACATCTATTACTCTTATCCCCAAAGTGGAGAGCCCTAGGTATGCATCTAATTTTCGGCTATTTCTTGTTGCAATTTTCTTGGTGAAGCTCAGTCAGCTTTTGTGAAGGGTAGGCATATTGTGAGCAATGTGCTAATGGGGCATGAATTAATGAAACATTAATGAAACATTATGGTAGAAAATGCATGATTAATGTTGACATTCGAAAGGCTTATGATACCCTTGATTGGGAGTTTTTTTGCATGATATGTTAAGAGGGGCTTGGTTTTCCAATGGAATTTATATATTAAGTTGATTATGATGTGACTTAGTCCAAAGTTCTCAATCTTCTTCAATGGGTCTTTACATTGTTGCTTCCCTGGAATGAGAGGGTTGAGAGAGGGTGATCCCTTTATCTCCCTACCTCTTTGTTATATGCATGGAGTACTTGACTAGGAGATTCGGTATGTCGAGGAGTAACGCTAGCTCTTTTTAAATTTCATCCTAAATGATTAATCCCTTAGTCTTTGCTGATGATCTCTTGATGTTTGGGAAGGGGGACCTTGAGACCATGATACTCCTAAAGTTTAGCTCTTGATGAGTTTAGTAATAATACTTCATGGCTAGTTGCTAATCCATCTAAATGCGCAATATTTTTTTGGGGGTGTAAGCAACGATATCAAGAATAATATCCCGGCAAATTTGGGGTATAGAGAAGGTATGTTGGGATTAAATATTTTGGGGTGTCCCCCATGGCGGCTAAAAGATTATCGGTAGCTGGTTGCAGGGAATTGGTTTGTAAACTTACTAAAAGAATCCGAGGTTAGCATGTGAGAAAACTATCTTATGCGGGAAGGATCCGATTAGTGAAAAGTGTTGTACTTGGCATTCACTTACATCGGCCTTTCTCGTTATGTGTTGCCTGGCCAAAACTGTCCTTGAATTAATTGACAGAACCTGCAGGAATTTTATTTGGGGTGGGTCTCATGATGCTGGTGGTGTTCCTCTTGTTTGTTTGGGATGTAAATGTGTAGAGGTAAAGCTGTTGGAGCGCGGCTTGGGTCTATACTCAGCTATGAGGTGGAATAGAGTGCCAGTCTTGAGTTTACTACGGTTCATTCACGAGAAGAAGGACGCTCTTTGGATAAAATGGGTGCACGAGACTTGGCTCGCGTTATCTCATTCGCATCATAAACTCAGTTCTGCCCCCCTGTTACTCAGGAACAAACTGTGTTGGGGGGTCTTGAATTTTCCGAAACACTCATTTATTTTGTGGCCGGTCGCTCACAGCAAGCTTCTGACGAGGATGAGATTGGGTGGAACGGGGGATCTCCAACAACGTACGTTCCATGTATGTTGCGTGGATCTGGCGGAGGGGATCAGGTTCATTTGTTTTTGCGGTGCTGTTCTCCGCTGATGTCTGGACGGGGGTCACGAGCTGGTTTTGTAAGTATAGATTATGTGCAGATGTGAATGGAGTGTTGTGTTTAACCAAATATCGAAGGAAAGGCTAACTTTTGATGAGCAAGTGAAGAGTGACTGCCCTCTCCGCCACAGTTTACCGTGTTTTGGTTCGAGTGCAGTACAAGGGTGCATGGACGGAATCTTTATATTGAGTCTTCAATTTGTTTTCTTGAGCTTTTTGATTCTTGCGTTTGTGTGATCTCGATCGAGTTTTGGTCGCACAGGAATACCTGTTGCTTTTATATGTACAGAATGCTAATTGGTAAATGAAATAAAAAAATTTCAATGACCAAATAAAAGCTTGATGGTTTATTGCTTTGAGGGCTAAGTTTTTCAAAACGATGATTTGAGGGTGGATTTTTGCAACTACTGAGATTTGGAGGGTATGTTTGCAATGCCCATGATTTAACGGTTATATATATGCGTATAACCCTACTTAGTTTCGGTTTTTTACACATTACCCCTCCAAACCTTCCATATTTCAAACTTAACCCCCCAAATCCAGATACCACTTAAGCCGAACCCTCTATCACCCAAATCAAACGAATTGCGAGGTCTCCTTCATCCGATCACAAGTCGTTCACCAGGTGAGCTCAAATCTTAGCTTTGTTGGTTCCACGAAATAATAATTGATTTGATTTCGTGAACTTTCCAATGCCATTTTGACTGTTTCAGTCGCTCTTTTTGAATAAACTTATGCAGTCATGTAAGGGTTAAAAAAAGAAGGGTAGTAAACACTGCGTGTCTAATTGATGGATGAGAGTCATAGAGGTGGAGTCTTTATCAATGGACCTCAATCAACTGTTAGGAGGGGTTCCAGCTTTCCTTGCAGTTTTGGAGGGTGTATTAGTCAATTCAAACTTTTAGTTTCCAAATCTAACAGAAACGAGTGTTCCTTAATTTAACCTTTGAGGAGGTATTTTAACCATCGCGTGAGATTTGGGGGTCAATTAGCAAATGTCTAGATTTGGGGGGTAAATTTGAAAATATGGATGGTTTAGGATGTAGATAGGCCAAAAAACCCTTCAGTCTTCAGCACAACTGTTTTTAGGGGTTTTTACTTATGTACCCTCCAAGGACCAAGGCAACTATACATTCAAATTTACCCTCTAAATGCAGGCATTTACTCGTTCAACCTCAATTACCGCATTGAGTTGAAGTGTTCCCTGAAAAGTTAATGTTACTAAATATTATTCGTATGTTTTATCTTTTTCTGTTAATTTAGTCGAAATTTCCCCCTTCAACCGTTCAAAAACCAACTATGTAAATTAGCAAGTGATAGAATTGAGATCTAAATTAGCAGAAATTTATATCTGGGTTTAAGTTTCAAATATGATTGATTTGGGGGAGGTAGTATATAAGTTAAAAAACCTTTTTTTTTCAAAGAAATTTGTTTAGTGCTCCCTCTGTCAATTTTTATTCATGTATTACTCATAACCTTTAACCTGTTATCTATAACTATATTTAAGAACTTGTTTTTTAAGTTACATCTCTATACTTAGGATAATATATATACTTTTTCTTCAATTTCGAAACTTCAGACTCATTTGACTTTGAAAAATTGATAGCTACAGAAGTTACTATTGAATCATGCATGCCAATATTGATCTCATGATTGCTATTGCCTCTGTTATTAACTTTCTGTCAAGCTAAGTAATTAAATTTGCTTGCGTGATGCCTATTTTTCTGTACAGGTCAAAATTGTTATGTACAAGCTAATGGTTTCACTTCCATGACACTGTTTAGTTGTTGTTAGAGTATAAAATTACATCTCTCAATTATTGTTATCGTAACATTGTATTATTATGGTTATTATTATTATTTGTTATTGTTATTACTATACAATTAGAGTATAAAATTATTGTAATACAGCCTCAAATTCCTGGAAACACATTTAAACCTGGTTCTCAAAGAATAACAAGTATCAGTATTTTGATATTACAATTGTTTCTCAAAATGATAGAGGATTAACAGGCGGGGAGTTATCAATGTAGAGGTAAAGTGTTTAAGCAAAGTAGGGAGAGGATAGACAAACATATTGGTAACAGAGAAGGTCATGCTCATGCTTGAATTATTGACTAAGTATCCCATTTCTGTGAAACTTCATAAACTTTCTTAAATTATTAGGCCGAGGTGTTTAAAAGTACTATATGTTTAGTTAATCCATTTTCTTATGGATCATATGTTGCGTTATCCCTGTCATTTGTTTTGGTCCATTGTTCACAGTCAAGAAGCTGGTAGGAGCTAGGGTAGAGTCACCGTATCAGTCCATTTTTCTTTGAAATGCTCTGAGTAATTCACTGATACCAGACACTAGGATATTTTGGGTCAATTTTTTTCCTTAGGCAGGCAACCGTCCAATATAAGAAAGAGTGCTTTTACATCTTCAAAACTCAAGGAAAGGCATCTCTTACAATATGAACAATAAAAGTAACCCAAAAATTTTTAACATACATCAACCCCCTCTCTTTCACCTCCCCTATTTATCCGTCACATGTCGCTCGCAGACATCCGTGGTGCATGGAGATATGGATTACTGGACCGTTCCTGTATACAAGAAGACATGCATTGTTAATTTACTATATATCATCACGATTGTCACAAAAACTATTCATTTCTAACTCGAACAATATTTACCATGGTGTGTGACTGCGGCCTCGGCTGTGAATTGTTGAAACTTGAATGATTGCTGGAAGCAGAGTAAGCACCAAAACTCGTACCACTGTTGCTACTATTACCAAAATAACCAACAGACTGATAAGAATACCCGAGATTTCTCAACCTGTTCAGTTCTGGCAAGACGACTGTGGCAAGGTCAGGACGGTCTTTTCTCCTCAGCTGAGCACATTTCAAAGCAATCTTAGCAAATGAAAGTGCGTCTTCCACTGGCCAATCAGTCACAGACTGATCAAGCATTTCATGAAACTGTCCTCTCTCGATTGCTCTCTCCACATGGTGGCTTAGCCCCATGGGAGGTTTTGCCGTAATTATCTGAAGTAGCATAATCCCCAGTGAGTATATATCTGACTTGGTACCGAGCATTCCTGTCTGCTGATACTCAGGATCGATATAACAGAATGTTCCAGCGGTGGACGTCATTCTATACTGAGTAACAGTGTCTGCTACAGTCGGAGGTACGAGTCTTGCGAGACCCACGTCGCTGATTTTGCTCGTGTAATTTCGGTCTAAGAGGATGTTTCCAGGTTTGAGATCTCGGTGGACTAATGGTTCGGGTTTTGTTTGGTGGAGGAAGAGGAGAGCGGTGGCTATCTCTGCTGCAATCTTGAAGCGGATGCTCCACGGAATTGTTGGAGTGTTCCCTCGGCGGAAGAGACGGTCGTCTAAGCTACCGTATTCCATGTATTCGTATACTAGGCATCCGTACTCTGGGCAGGCGCCAAGGAGTAACACCATGTTTGGATGCCTGATGCAGCTGAGCACCTCAATCTGTAGGTTGATACATTTATTTAGGGAAAATATGGTAAGAGAAGCACACATGTTAGCAGCTTGATATCGAAATGTGCGAGCCAAAATTATACAAATTTGGCTGAATTGTAAATGATTTATGTTTGACTGCCGAATGCTGTTTCGTCCATATTAAAAGAAAAAACATTGACTTAGCTTATAGAGGATTACCTTTCAATGAGATATGTTGTATTCTTTTTAAGTTTGCACTAGAAATGAAAATGAAAATGGACGTCTGCGGATGCATTTGTATCCATATCCTATTGAATAAGAATATGGATATTAAATATTTGTGTCTCGTCAGGTGCTATAATATGTATACATATATTATTATTTTTTAATTTTTTAATTTCTAATGTGGATGTAGATAGGGGTATCCATTCGGGCTGGGCAAAATGGGTAGCCCGGGCCTGGACCCGGACCTGGGGTGCTCGGGCCGGACCTAGGTCTGGGTCCGGGCCAAACTGGCCGGGCTCTGAGCCTGCCCGAATTTTTTTATTTTTTGGTAAAAAATTATTGAAAATTAGATTAACCTTATTATATTTATATAAGTATGTATTAGTATATACTTACATATGATTATCTAGCTATATTATATATGAAAAAATGAGTATGCTTGGTACCAAGCATAAAAAGTTGTGCTTGATAGTGAGATATCACATTCCCCACCACTCATCCAAATAGTTGCATATCTCCATGCACTCCTCAACCCATGTGAATGTGGTCCCCCATTTGAATGAGTAGAGGTAGATGTGCCACCTCACTACCAAGCACAAAATTTGTGCTTGGTACCAAGCATACCTATTTTTCTCATTATATATATATATATATAAGCTTGGTACCAAGCACAAAAAGTTGTGCTTGGTAGTGAGGTGACATAATCCCCTCAACTCATTCTAATAGTTACATATCTCCATGCACTCCTCAACCCATATGAATGTGATCCCTCATTTGAATGAGTGGAGGGGATTGTGCCACCTCACTACCAAGCACAAAATTTGTACTTGGTACCAAGCATATCCATATTTCTCATATATATCAACTTAAGTGGATGGTCCACCAAAGTTTCTATCCACTCATGTTATCTAGGGATCCTTACATGATATGAATAAACTTTTTATATATATAAATGAGTGGATAGAAACTTTGATGGATAAAGACTTGGTGTCCACTTAAGTTGACGTAAGTTTTACTCTCTCTCTATATATATTGTATATAATTATAACTTTGAGAGAGAGAGAGAATCACATAATGATATATATAACTTATTTATAAATACGTATTATATAGTTAGATATGTATTTGTTACATATTTACATTATGTTTATTTAAGTACAGTTATACACTTTTCTTATATGATATACTTTTATATATCCTAGATGCAATATACTTATATATAATTATACTTATGTACTTATATACACTTATATAATTGTAATTCTATAATATACACGTATAAGTATACTTATAACTACATTGTATATATATATATAAGTGCATGTGGATATGCAACTATTTGAATGAGTGAAGGAGATTATGCCACCTCACTACCAAGCATAACTTTTTATGCTTGGTACCAAGCATACCTATTTTTCTCATATATATGTGTGTGTATATACATACATACATACATACTTGCATACTTAAATATATAAAACTATATACATTTAAGACTTCGGAGCTATGACCATTTTCCTAAAAAAACATATACACTTAGAAATATATATGTATACATTAATGCCCATATCATAATATAATTATATATAAAAATGTATACAATATATATTAAAAATATAGATAATATTATATAAAAAATATATATAAATATAAGAACCGGGCCGGGCTGGGCCCGGGTCGGACTTTACCAAGACGACCCGGAGCCCGGTTGGCCCGGGTTTTCTGAGTTTGTCCCGAGCCCGGGCCAGGTTTGGGCCTGGTCA